AGCTTGGGCTCCGGGCTCAGGTTCCCGGCTTCCCTTGCTGAAGAATGGAGCAGAGAGCCTTACCCCCACGGCGAGTGTTCCAGCCCCAAACGCGTTCGTGGACAGAGTGAGCAGCCACGCAGTTTACTGAGCGAGAAAGTCACAGCTTCCACAGCATGGAGGGGTGGAGGGCCCCAGAGGGTTGTCGCCGATGGCCAGGGCGGCCTGGGCTTCTCTCCCCAGGTGATTCGGAATTGCGGGGGGTCCGCCCCAGTCCTGGGTGGGGAGGGGCTTGTGACCATGAGCGGAATCTCTCCTCCTGGTGTTTGCTTCCTAGTTTCTATTGAAGTCGCAAGCAGTATGGGAATGTGGTTGAACAGCTGACCGACACTTCGAGCACAGCCTCCTGGTGTAGGAGAAGTACTGTTTGAGCTTTTCCCACGCTAGGATTTCCAAAAGGCTCCCCATTGGCCCGAAACGCTTCACTCCCTCCATGTTACCAGGTTTTCTAGTTCCTTCTCATTTGGTAGGCTCTGTCAGGCTCTCTCAGAGGAAGGTCTAGGGTTGAAGGCTGTTGTTCAGAGGCTTTTATCCCATGGGTGTTCCCTGGCTGTGGTGTTTTCCCCCTTTCCCTAGGGCTGTGGCTTCCTGGGAGCCGAGCTGTGGTGATTGTCACCTCTCTTCTGGATCCAGCCACCCAGCAAGTCTACCCGGCTCTGGGCTGGTCCTGGGAGTTGTCTGCACAGAGTCCTGTGATGTGAATTATCTCTAAGTCTCCCAGGCATGAACACCAGCACCTGCTCTGGTGGACATGGCAGGGGGTGAAAGGGACTCTGTGAGGGTTCTTAGCTTTGGTTGCTTAATGCACTATTTTTGTGCTGGTTGGGCTTCTGCCAGGAGGTGGCCCATTCAAGAGAGCATCAGCTGCAGTCATATGGGGGGAACAGGCTGTCGTATGAGGGGGAACAGGTGGTTGTATGGGGGAACAGATGGTCGTATGAGGGGGAACAGGCAGTCATATGGGGGAACAGGTGGTCATATGGGGAGGAACAGGCAGTCATAAGAGGGGGAACAGGTGGTCGTATGGGGGGAACAGGCCGTCATAAGAGGGGGAATAGGTGGTCGTATGGGGGGAACAGGCCGTCATAAGAGGGGGAACAGGTGGTCATATGGGGAGGAACAGGCAGTCATAAGAGGGGGAACAGGTGGTCATATGGGGAGGAACAGGCAGTCATAAGAGGGGGAACAGGTGGTCGTATGGGGGGAACAGGCCGTCATAAGAGGGGGAACAGGTGGTCATATGGGGAGGAACAGGCAGTCATAAGAGGGGGAACAGGTGGTCATATGGGGAGGAACAGGCAGTCATAAGAGGGGGAACAGGTGGTCGTATGGGGAGGAGCAGGCAGTCTTAAGGGGGAACAGGAGGTCGTATGAGGGGGAACAGGAGGTCGTATGGGGGAACAGATGGTCGTATGGGGAGGAGCAGGCAGTCTTAAGGGGGAACAGGAGGTCGTATGAGGGGGAACAGGTGGTCGTATGGGGGGAACAGGAGGTCGTATGGGGGAACAGGCAGTTGTATGGGGGAACAGGTGGTAGTATGGGGGAACAGGTGGCCGTATGAGGGGGAACAGGAGGTCGTATGAGGGGGAACAGGAGGTCGTATGAGGGGGAACAGGTGGTTGTATGGGGGAACAGGTGGTAGTATGGGGGAATAGGCCATCATATGGGGGAACAGGCGGCCATATGAGGGGGAACAGGCGGTCGTATGGGAGGAACAGGTGGTCATATGGGGGAACAGGCGGTCGTATGGGAGGAACAGGTGGTCATATGGGGGAACAGGCGGTCATATGGGGGAACAGGCGGTCGTATGGGGGGAACAGGTGGTCGTATGGGGGGAACAGGCGGTCGTATGGGGGAACAGGTGGTCGTATGGGAGCAACAGGTGGTCATATGGGGGAACAGGCGGTCGTATGGGGGGAACAGGCGGTCGTATGGGGGGAACAGGCAGATGTATGGGGGAACAGGCGGTCATATGGGGGGGAACAGGCGGTCACCTGAGGGGGGAACAGGAGGTCGTGTGAGGGGGACAGGTGGTCGTATGGGGGGAACAGGTGGTCGTATGGGAGGAACAGGTGGTCATATGGGGGAACAGGCGGTCGTATGGGGGGAACAGGCGGTCGTATGGGGGGAACAGGTGGTCATATGGGGGGGAACAGGCGGTCACCTGAGGGGGGAACAGGAGGTCGTGTGAGGGGGACAGGTGGTCGTATGGGGGGAACAGGTGGTCGTATGGGAGGAACAGGTGGTCGTATGGGGGAACAGGCGGTCGTATGGGGGGAACAGGCGGTCGTATGGGGGGAACAGGCGGTCATATGGGGGGAACAGGCGGTCACCTGAGGGGGGAACAGGAGGTCGTGTGAGGGGGACAGGTGGTCGTATGGGGGGAACAGGTGGTTGTATGGGAGGAACAGGTGGTCATATGGGGGAACAGGCGGTCGTATGGGGGGAACAGGCGGTCGTATGGGGGGAACAGGCGGTCATATGGGGGGGAACAGGCGGTCACCTGAGGGGGGGAACAGGAGGTCGTGTGAGGGGGACAGGTGGTCGTATGGGGGAACAGGCCATAGTATGGGGGGACAGGCAGTTGTATGGGGGGGCATGTGGTGGTCAGGGCTCTAGAAACCCCAAGAGGATCTGCCCTTTGTCTTCAGCTATCTGAAGTGGGTGGGGAGGACGATTAGGTGGGTGCAGGGCTAGACACGTCTGGGCTCAGATTCTCCTTGGGAGAGTCTTGCCATGGCGGCTGTGGGGGATGGGTTGAGACTCCCAGCTGAAGGGGGTTATGTTACTAGGAGGATTATGGCTGCCTCTGCTGTGCCATGCAGGTCATCGGAGAAGTGGGGGAAAGCACAGTCTCTCATGCAACCCAAAGGGCCAGTCTTACTCCCCCCATGCCCCCATCAAGAGCACCAAGTCTGTTTCTAGCAGTGGGCATCAGGGCTAAGAACCTGCCCCAGGCTCCCACCTCCCAGCTGCGTAGGCGAGTAAGGCATTCGTGCTTTCCCTACCTGTGGAATCGGATTCCTGCCCTCCCCCGAGTTCTGGCCAGGACATGACTCCAGCAGCTCAAATTGTTAAAAGTTCAGCTGGAGGCTTCCTTCTCCTGGTGGCCTTTCCCAGTGCCTCTGGCAGCCCCCCTCAAGGACCCCTGTGAGGCGAGGCAGAGTTGGCTTGTGAGGGGACCCAGCAAGCCCACAGCATTCTTCCGGCTGCCTCCTCTACCCCCGTATTTCACTGACTCTCTAAATTGATTCAGCTCCAGGTAAGGTCAGAATCTTCTGTGATCTACACCTCCAGGTTTCCCAGTGAAGGTTTATATGTAAGGGCAGACAACCCCCCTTTCCCACTCACAGCGTTTGGGGTGTCTCCCAGGTCGTGCAGGACCAATCCCCTTCCTCCAGAGGGTCTGTGGGCTCTCTCGGCTTTCCTGACTTCTGGAGCAGAAGTTCACAGTGCAAGGCTCCACACACTGCTCTGTCCGCCCGAGTGGGAGCTGCAATCCGGCCCTGGCTCACATCAGCCGAGGTCCTCCCCCTTTCATCAAAGTCTTAAAACAAACATCACGTCAGCAAAACACCTTACATTTGTGGAGGAGGTGAGCCTTTTGCAACACGTGCACTCCCATCTGATTACATTCCCAGTGCTGGCTGTCACAATGCCGCCATTACATGGGGAGAGACAGAGAATAAAAAAAACCAGTTTTAAAATGTGGTAATTTCTAACACTGCAACTGCTACAAAACCACTAAAAAATGCAATAGAGAGAGAGTGGGTTTGGCACAGAGGGCTGTCGTCATTGTCACGGATGCCCTCTCAGATGATAAGCAGAGGCTTGCCCTGTCCAAGGTCTGCGTGGACAGCTTTCTACATAAAGGAAGCCGGGGGTGCAAGGCCCTGAGGCCAGAAGGAGCTGGGCACATTTCGGGAACCTCCGGCCGGAGGATAGCAAACTATGCCAGAGCGCAGGACTGTGGCGGGAGATGCTGAAGACAGACAAGAACTAGAGAGGGAGGACTTACAAGTCATAGCCTGGGGTTGAGACTTTATGCTGAGGGCCATGGGAAGGCACTGAAAGGGATGTGGAAGTAATTAACTGGGAACATTTTTAAGTGAATATATTGTCCCCAGAAAGTTTGTGAAGCAGCTTATATCCACTGTTTACTTTTTACATAAATAAATTAATGCCTGTTTTTTTTTTTTTTTTTGAGATGGAGTTTTGCTCTTGTTGCCCAGGCTGGAGTGCAACCTCTGCCTCCTGGGTTCAAGCGATTCTCCTGCCCAGCCTCCCGAGTAGCTGGGATTACAGGCATGTGCCACCACGCCTCGCTAATTCTGTATTTTTAGTAGAGACAGGGTTTCTCCATGTTGGTCAGGGTGGTCTCAAATTCCTGACCTCTGGGGATCCACCTGCCTTGGCCTCCCAAAGTGCTGGGATGACAGGTATGAGCCACTGTGCCTGGCCTTTTTTTTTTTTTTTTTTTTTTGAGATGGAGTCTCGCTCTTGTCACCCAGGCTGGAGTGCAGTGGCACGATCTCAGCTCACTGCCACCTCCACCTCCCAGGTTAGAGCAATTCTATCTCAGCCTCCCGTGTAGCTCGGATTACAGGTGCATGCCACCACTCCCAGCAAAATTTTGTATTTTTAGTAGAGACAGGCTTTTATCATATTGGTCATGCTGGTCTCAAACTCCTGACCTCAGGTGATCTGCCCACCTCGGCCTTCCAAAGTGCTGGGATTACAGGGGTGAGCCACCATGCCCGACCTAATTTACACCTATTAATGTATTTTTCCCAAATGCAAACAGCTCTGGTTTTCATTTTCTTAAAATACTTGAGATTCTTTCACTGTGAATCCTCCCAAGTACCTATATTTTATAATACTCTGTTTCTTTACCTAATTAATTATAGTTACAGTTATAGCAAATTAATAATTGCAATAATTATCTTTGTCTTTTCTTATAGACTGTAAGCTCCTGTGTGCAGATCGAGTGCTCGAACGCTCAGCACATAACTGAGATGCCAGAAGATACTTTAGTTAAATTACTATAGTTCTGTAAGCTTTCTTCGCTTACTGTAATATGAGTACTTCTCGTATCACTAAACTTCTGTGTTCCACACTTTTGTATAGTTGCAACGTCTTATTGTTGACTAACGAAGTTCTTCCAAGTTTCCAGAACAAATTTTTATTCTACACAAAAAAGTTCCTGTTTGCTTAAATCTTTAACTCACGGGGATTTGTTAGGTCCCTGGGCTGCCATCTGGCCTCAGCATAAATAACATCAAAATTGAATTTTTTTTTTTTTTTTTGCCAGTTTGAGCTTATAAGGTTGCTCAGGTTAGCCTTGAACTCATGACCTCACCTTCGCAAGCGCCACGACCTCCAGCAGGAGCCACTTTGGACCCCGAAATTGAATTTTTTAAAGTCTCTCCTAATATGTTATGGGTTGAATTATGTCCCTGAAAAAGGTATGTTGAAGTCTTAACCCGAGTACCCGCGAATGTGACCTTATTTAGAAGCAGCGTCATTGGAGATTAGTTAAGATGAGTTCATACTGGTGTAGGGGTAGGCCCTTAAACCAATCTAATAATTTGCATCCTTATTTAGAAAGAGAAGGTGTGAGAAGAGACAGAGACGTACACGGCGAGACCCCTGCAAGGACTGCAGTTATGCTGCCTCCGGCCCAGGCACTGCCAGAAGCCAGGAGGGAGGCTCGGCAGAGACCCTGCCCCTGGATCCTCAGAGGCAACACGGCCCTGCTGACCCCTGGAGCTTGGACTTCCGGCACCTCCACAACGGAGAGGTGATAAATTGCTGTTGCTCTAAGCCACCTACTTAGTGGTACTTTGTGATGATGGTCCTGGAAAATAATCCACAATCGGAGAGAGCTGAATGCGAAACGACACTCTGATTATGCGGGCGGAGATCGCACGGATCTGTCCTGTCACAGTCCAGAGACACGGAGCTGGATCCCAAGTCTTAGGGACGAGAGTCAAAGGGGTCATTTACAAAATTAAACACCCGCCCAGTTAAATCTGAATTTTAGGAAGTCATATTAAGTAATACCGGGGCATACTTATACTTTAAAAAAGGGTTTGTTTATCTGAAATTCAAACATAACTGAGCATCCTGTGTTTTTATTCGATAAATCTGTCAAGCCTATGAATCATATTAAGTAATACCGGGACATACTTATACTTTAAAAAAGGGTTTGTCTGAAATTCAAATATAACTGAGCATCCTGTGTTTTTATTCGATAAATCTGTCAAGCCTCCGAAGGTGCCCACCAGGAGGTAAAGGAGCCTTTGGGACAGGCTAGGGCAGGCGGTGTCTTCCCTTTGGAGGACTCACCTGACTGTCCACATGTAACGGGAGCTGGCCCAGAGAGGTGGAAGCAATCAGCGCAAATCGTCACCAGGCTCAGTGAGATGCGTTTGGAAAAGGTAAAAAAGATGCCTCTGAGAATCAGAGAAGCAAAGCAAGTGATTGCTAGAAGACTGCTGTGAAACGGGTGGGTGAAGCCCCACTGGAAATGAGGAAAATAAAAATAAATCCTCCCATTGGCATGACTTGTGCTTTGTGACATCTATTAACCCAGTGGAAATATTACCTTGAAATACCAGAGATTGTGACTAAGACGCTGGAAGAGGGACATAAGAAAGAATGTTTAGTTTCTATTTACTACCAGAAGAGGCTCAGTGAATTGCTGAAGTATATCACAGAAAAGAAAAATTATTTTAAGGCTGGGTGCAGTGGCTCACACCTGTAGTCCCAGCACTTGGAATGGCCTAGGTGGACAGATCACCTGAGGTCAGGAGTTTGAGACCAGCCTGTCCAACGTGGCAAACCCCATCTCTCCTAAAAATACAAACATTGCCGGGCGCAGTGGCACGATCCTGTAATCCCAGCTACTCTGGAGGCTGAGGCACAAGAGTCACTTGAACCTGGGAGGCGGAGGTTGCAGGGAGCTGAGATGGTGCCCTTGCACTCCAACCTGGGCAACAGAGCGAGACGCTGTCTCAAAAAAAAAAAAAAAAATTAAGAGTGCTAAACAAATGACAGCAAAATTTCCTGGCATTAATATAAGAGCAGATGAAGATGTCTAGTTGGATATTTGTGATAGAGAGGGTGATGGAAGGTCCCAAGTTTAGATAAATTCAAGAAGTCTGCAAAAGAACAGGCACTTCTGTTCAAACAAACGCATCTGGCAGACAGAGAGCTGGGAGGCTGCAGGATGAGCTGGCTGCAGGATAGTGGATAGAAGACGCGAACTCCCCTCAAAAAGGACGACACAAGGAAAATGACCTTCTTAAGTAGGAAAGGGGCCAAAACAGGAAACAGGAGAGCGGGTAAGTCTGACGCTGATGCCGAAGAGGCCTAAACAGGATTTTAACACAAGAGATAGAATGACTTTCCTAGGCTGGGTGCTGTGGCTCGTGCCTGTAATGCCCGCACTTTGGGAGGCTGGGGTAGGCAGATCACGAGGTCAGGAAATCGAGACCATCCTGGCCAACGTGGTGAAACCCCGTCTCTGCTAAAAATACGAAAAAACTAGGTGGGTGTGGTGGCACACACTTGCAGTCCCAGCTACTTTGGAGGCTGAGGCAGGAGAATTGCTTGAACCCACGAGGCGGAGGTTGTAGTGAGCCGAGATCGCGCCACAGCACTGCAGGCTGGGTGACAGTGAGACACTCCGTCTAAAAAAAAAAAAAAAAAAAAAAAAAAAAAAAAATTTCCTTTCCTAAATTGCAGGATTCAGCATCCAGAATTCAACTGTCCAATTGTGAAGGTTGAATCCAATTTGAGGTCAGGACTATCCCAAACAAAAGTGGTAAGGAGCAGTCCTGCATGACTGTGGGGTAAACCCAGGGGAGGAGAAAGGATGTTTAGAACTCAGTAGCTCCTATTTCAGTGGCAAAGACACGGCTGTTTCCCTAAAACAAGGGGTCTGCTGTGCATTTTCCAGTAAGAACCTACAAAGCTGAAGCTGGCGAATAAATCATTTAAATTAATAAAAGGAGATCCCCCGCAATACATGGACTGTGACTGTCAAAAATACCTTCCGATTATGTGATGTGTTTAAGACTGGAGCTCTCACAAAGGATCCGTTTGACCACTGGACGCTCTAAGTGAGGAGAGGGTGAAGGTCAGTCTCTCTAACAATGAACACGTCTCAGACTCTGCCACCAGAGACACGGAGTCATCAGGAAACAGCAAAGGAAGAGCAAAAGGAGAAGCTGAAAACAAGAAGAGCAAATGGCGTTTATGAAAAAAAAAGAATAAGAAGAAAGATGAAGCAGCCTTCTTCAGGTGCAGGAGACGGTGCGTTAATGTGCAAAGACGCTCCCAGCGTGATGGATGAAACCCAGCTGCCACCCAACCAGGAAAGAGGAAAAGCCGCACTGCATGACGCCAGGGCCTTCTACAGCACCGGCACGTGGTAAGGGTACGCTGAATATCGCACGCGATACGCTCTTCCCGCTTCTGGTAGCAGAAGGTAGAAACAGCCTCTTCCACAGGTTTGCATGTTCATGTTTGTTAGTCACAGACATAAAATGTTAAGGTTCTAAAGAATGACAATGTCAGCGTTGGTGTAAAAGTGTGAACACCTTGCACGGGTTATTTTAGAAGGGAAATCTGATCACAGCACCGTGTATTTTAATATATATTTTAGGATTCTCCACCACCGTAAATGGCATTTATTAGACAACTGAAAATAGATCACTGCACACTTCAGTCATTTCTTCACTGAGCATGCACAGCCAGGTGCTGGAGGGAACAAACATGAAAACACACACAAATGTGGCCCGCCTGCCTTCAAGCTCCAAGAGCCAGACTCTGTAATGACCAATTATGTACATCAGAAGCACAATGGAAACAAAACCACACCGTGCTTTAAAAGGTGATTAAGTGTCATTAGAGAAGCAGAAGTGAACCGTAAGCAGACTTCGGAGAGTGTCCGGGCTGAGGGGCGGTCCCGGGACGAGCTAAGGGTCGGTCCCGGGGCAGGCTGGGGGCGGTCCCGGGCGGGCTGAGGGGCGGTGCCGGGGCGGGCTGGGGGCGGTGCCGGGGCGGGCTGGGGGCGGTCCCGGGGCAGGCTGGGGGCGGTCCCGGGGCGGGCTGGGGGCGGTGCCGGGTGCACTGAGGGGCGGTGCCGGGGCGGGCTGGGGGCGGTCCCGGGGCGGGCTGGGGGCGGTCCCGGGGCGGGCTGGCGGCGGTCCCAGGGCGGGCTGGGGGCGGTGCCGGGTGGGCTGAGGGGCGGTCTGGGCGCAGTTCCAGGGTGGGCTGGGGCCGGTCCTGGGTGGGCTGAAGGGCGGTGCTGGGGCGGGCTGGGGGTGGTCCTGGGTGGGCTGAGGGGCGGTGCTGGGGCGGTCCTGGGGTGCGTCGGGGGTGGGCTGGGGGCAGTCCCAGGGCGGGCTGAGGGGCGGTGCTGGGCGGGCTGGGGGGCGGTGCTGGGGCAGTCCTGGGGTGTGCTGGGGGCGGTCCCGGGGCAGGCTGAGGGGCGGTCCCGGGGCGGTTTTGGGGCTCCCATCACACAGGCTGGAGTGCAGTGGAGTGATCTTGGCTCACTGCAACCTCCACCTCCTGGGTTCAACTGATTCTCCTGCCTCAGCCTCCTTGGTAGTGAGATTACAGGCATACATCACCACACCCAGGTAATTTTTGTATTTTTAGTAGAGATGTGGTTTCATCATGTTGGCCAGGCTGATCTCGACCTCCTGACCTCAGGTGATCCACTAACCTTGGCCTCCCAAAGTGCTAGGATTACAGGCCACAAACCTCTTCTCTTTAAAATAGAGGAAGTGTCTGCCCACCTAAGGTTAATCTCTCCGCCTGTGTGTGGATCCCAGCCACACCTATGTCTTCAGAAATTGCTGATTACCTTCTTTCTCTTCAGGATCCTCAAACTCCCCTTCTCTGTGAGCTGCCCTCAAGCAGTGGGGCACATGTTGAGGCTATTCCCATGAGAAATTGAAAAGCCACCTTGACCCCATGACCCTGTCCAGCTTCCTCTCTCTTCTCCCCTTTACAGCCAAATATCTCCATTTGGCTCCTGAACTCACTCTGATATGGAGTCTGTCTTCACCACTGCAGTAAAACTGCTTTTGCCA